GAGATTAGTCTTCGCGTCTTTAAGCCATGAAATTTGCCTGTATTCACATACTACCTCGTTTGTTCTGACCCGTACTTGGAGCTCACAGTACACCAGTTCAACTGACGGATTTCTTTCGGCAACCGACCCGAGGTCAAGCCGGAAGTCTTCGTATCGTACATGCGGATTGGATTTGGATATAGTCTTTCTTCGAAATTATGGTGAGTGTATTTTTTAACGGCCTAGGATACAAAAGTATTTAACTTATAATGATGACACGTGATGGCTCGCTTTTGGATCCCGAGTTTCCAACCTTCTCTTATTTCTTACTGGTGGGGGAAAAAATCCTTAAAACGGGCTAAATTCAAAAAATAACCACACAGAGCGAAAGAAGTGCTATTTCTCAATGATAGGGTAAAATTTCGAGGCTTTATGTCACGTTTTGATGATTTTATTGAAATTTTTGATGAATCCCCATACATTTCCTTATAACAGGACACCACAGAAACCAAGCTTGGGCTACCTGTGGTCCGAATTTCGCCTTTGTCTTCGTTTTTATGACGTCACGGTATTAAAGGAAGTACGAAAATTAGTCCCACACCACCCCTCCCTACTTAACATTTTACGGTTCATCGCTTTTCCGTTTCCGGTCTTAAAAGCACGAATTAAAAAAACAATATATCAGCGTGCATTAAATATCTTATATTACATGTATAAATATCCATACAAGTCTTTTTATCCAAAGTGTAAAAAATATACGAATAGATTTTCAAACAATTCCAATTTTTATGTTCGAAATCTAAGTAGAAATGATAAATTTGGGTCCGAGGTTTTCAAGCTTTTATGTCGTCAAGCTCGATGAGTTCTAGCGTGCCTGCAGGCCCCGTCGCGTTGTGAAAGCTCTTCGCATCTTGTTTCATGACTAGCTGTCTCTAACGATGACCGGAGTCATTTCGATTACCGTATTCTTTCCTCGACTTTGATTATCGTTTGTAGTATCCGGCTTAGCTTCCCCTGAAGTAGATACACCGTTTTCGTTCTTTTTCTCCTTGCATAAATAACTGCATAGCATAACACAAAACAATACAAGAACAAGCAACGTTATTCCACCATAAAATTCGCCAGGCTCTAATCCAGCGATAAGATCGTCTTTTTCTTCAGGATTCGATTCAGTTAATATTGTCGTAATAGTGTATTTCGTAGGTATCGAGACTTCGTCTGTACGCGAAGAAGTACGTGACTGTTTTGATGTAGGTCGTTCTGTTGTGTCCAAATCATTAGACAAAGAAATAACATTTGACGTGAAAATAATGGCTGAAAATGCTATCATACTTCTGATTTTTGCCATCGTGATATCGATCTTCAACATCTAAAAGTAATTGTTTTGGTTGCATAGATGTAACATCTCTTTTGCCTCGATGCGCCAAATACTGATCTTGAACACAGTCAAAACAAACAGATCACATGATCTTTAACCTGTCAAAACCTGTTTTATACCAGTCTGGTCTGAAGATATTTACATAAATGTATATATATGATATTGACGGTGCATACCATCCCCCACCTTTTTATTTTACTTTTTTAAAAGGTTATTGAAAAAGGAAATTAATATTGATAGTCTTGTTTTATTTAAGTAAGACAGATTTTGAAAATGTACTTATAATGAAAATTAACGCTAAAATCCGACGTTTCAGAGTCATGTTGACTCCATTATCAAGGTTTAATAATTGTTCTATTTACTTTTTTATTTCTCCTACATGATAATGATTTTCAAATGTCATCATTCGTCCTTCCGTTCGTACGTCCGTACGTCTGTCTGTCCGTCCGTACGTCCGTCTGTCCGTCCTTCCGTTCGTACGTCCGTCTGTCCGTCCTTCCTTCTGTCTGTCCGTTCGTACGTCTGCCCGCAAGCTTCATGACACCTCACTTTTGCATGGACGCCAGGTATCTAATGCACTATTTCAGATCATTTGCCTAATCATTCGTTTGAACATTGCTTCCTTTTCAATCCTTCTATTCCTAATCTATGTTCAGGCATGCCTTGTGCATTGTTTCCCACAGATAGTATCCACGATGTCTACATCGAGTAATGGGCTAGTAGCTGAAGAATCACGTGAGATAACACTTATCAGAAGTCATGCCTAAATGCAGTCATACGGTCAGACCTAAATTTTAATGGTTATCATGACGGCCCTTCTGCTGACACATATTATTAACCCCCCCTCCCCTCCCCCAGGGGGAGTTAAGTTTGTCTTCCATATTCTATACGTATGCTGCTCCCCTTAACATCTTTATCACTACCACTCAAGGAAAAACCCCAACCCACCCCCACTCCCAGAGAACAAGTTTTGTCCCTATGCTTGCTCTGCATCAAAATTATGCAAAGCAAGTTTGTCCGCAGAAAGAGACGAGTCAGTAAAGAATTAGGGAGGCTAACTTAACTGGATAACTTGTTTTCAAAGCACGCGCAGATGGTGAACATCGATAAAGGCGTTTCCATATGACATGCTAAGTGTACCTGCCGTTCTAAGCTCTGGTTCCCGGCATTGTCATGAAAACATTTTCATTGACGTCAACCAAAGGATTTATTTGTTTCCACAAAGTACGATCTCCCGCGCGTGTTAGAGCGGTTTTGTATGAGTTGGGAAACGATGCGGCAAATTCGTAGGTATACTGTAGTCGTTGTGATTGGATGCGGAATTACTGGATGACAATGGCATGCCATTTCTATGCTACGGCATGTCTTACCGTGTGCGCAGTGACAGTCTGTACCTTACGCTTCCCATTCATACAATAACCATTATTATTGGAAGCCATTTCAATGTTACTTCATGTCTTGCTATAAGTTAGTACAGTATATTTCCCACTCATACGATATCCATTCCTATGGGAAGCCATTTCAATGTTACAGCATGTCGTACCGTGTACGTACACGTGCTGTAAGTCAGTAACATACGTTTCACTTCCCAATCGTGAAAACCTCTCTATATTTGCATGCAGGCCGTGCGTAAACCTTAGATGGTTTTATTGCCCAATCGGATGATAAATTTTGCCTCATTGAAGTAATTTGACTAGAATCTCTTATTGGCTCCAGGCTGACCTCGATGCATAAGCAGCTGAGCTGGTTGTCTCGCCGACGGACTTTTTCCAGCGTAAAAAACATCAACATCGCTCCATTCAGATTGCCATCTTTTTGTCTTAATAAGATATAGTGCCTTTTCAGTGAAAGCAACGTTTTATCATTGAATATATGCATCATTTAACGTCAAGAAAACTCGACCACGCAGTCTTCATGTTTGAGGTTAGCGTACTTACATCTTCGTGTTGTATGCGACTGTCTTCAAATTTAACTGACTTCATATAGTCGACAATCTATTCTCTTCTCACTGATTTTATAACCTTTTTTCCATAAACTGGTAAGTTAAGTCTCGTGCATGACAATCAAAAACGCCTTTGTTTTCCTTAAAATTCATTATTTTGAATCTTATCGTGCGTTGGCCACAATGATTTGCGAAAAAGCTTTTCAACGAAGGAACACGGTACGCTTTTCGTTTTCCAAACGCAAATCTATTTATTTTAGTCAAAAAAAAA